AAGTTTAACAATTACACAATGTATGCAGTGAAATTTCATTGGGCTTTCCCCTTTTAGCTTATAAGCCAAATTCTGGAATACTACCATCTAAACACCTTTTATGATTAATGACCTTAACAGTTTTTGTCTTGTTTATTTCATTGATGAATTTTTTGGCTTCTTTCATATTAAACTTTATATGAATAGAATTCATTGACATAAACATTCAAAATTATAAATGTATCATAACACGACTACAAATGATCAAGTATGATAAAAATGAGTTTAAAAAGGCAGTCCTCGACTTACAACAATAATTAAGCCCCAAATTCCCATCGCTAAGCACAATAGTTATTAAATAAATTTTGCCAAATTTTGTGACCTTTCTTGACACAGTTTTTAAGTGAATCACTGCAGTTGTTAAATTATTACCATGATTATTAAATGAATCTGGCTACCCCATTGATTTTGCTAGTCAGAAGGTCAAAAAGCTGATCACGTGACCCCAGGACACTTCAGCTATCATAAATATATGCCAGCTACCAAGCAACCAAATTTTGATCATGTCATTACGGGGCTGCTGCAACAGTGATAGGTATGAAAAATGATCATAAGACACTTTTCTAGTGCTATTGTAACTTTGAATGGCCACTAAGTGAATGGTTGTAATTTGATGATTACCTATATGATATTTTATTTATTTTATTTTATTTGGTTTGTCAATTGTTTACAAGATAATAGGTATAAGTAAAAACATAGTTATGAATACATGGATACATATAAGAAAAATAAAAGAAACAATAGGACAGGGATGGTAGGCACGCTGGTGCGCTTATGCATGCCCCCCTACAGACCTCTTAGGAAAGGAGTGAGGTCAATAGTAGACAGTCTAAGGTTAAAATTTTTGGGGTTTGGGGAAGAAACCCCAGAGTCAGGTAGAGTATTCCAGACATTGATCACTCTGTTGCTGAAGTCGTATTTCCTGCAATCAAGTTTGGTGCGATTAACCTTGAGTTTGTATCTATTGTTTGCTCTTGTATTGTTATGGTTGAAGCTGAAGTATTCATTGACAGGTAGGACATTGCAATGTATGATTTTATGTACTATACTTAGATTGGACCAAAGGCGGCGTAGTTCTAGGTTTTCTAGGTCTAGAATTTCAAATCTGGTGGCATGAGGTATTCTGCACCAAGTAGAGGAGTGGAGAAATCTTCTTGTGAAATATTTCTGGACTTTTTCAATTGTGTTAATATCAGATACGTAATGTGGGTTCCAGACTGATGAGCTGTATTCGAGTATTGGTCTAGCAAATGTTTTGTATGCTCTAGTTAGTAGTGTGATATTACCAGAGAAAAAGCTACGTAAGATTAGGTAAACAACTCCTAATGCCTTTTTGGCTATGTAGTTACAGTGGGCTCTAGCACTTAGATCATTAGGGATGAGTACTCCAAGATCCTTGACAGAATTTGGATCATCAACAAGGTCTTGACTATCCAGCCTGTATTTTATTTTCTGGGTTTTTTGTTTTTGTTTGTTTTTTGACAATATGTAAGACAGAGCATTTATTTGTTGAGATTTGAAGTTGCCATTTGTTTGACCATTCTGATACATAGTCAAGGTCTTTTTGAAGGGTAGCAGTATTGTCTGTGGTGCTGAATAGCTTTACATCATCAGCGAAGAGAACACAGTTGCTCTTAATATAATCACAGAGGTCATTTATGTAGAATATGAAGAGGGTTGGTCCTAGAACACTGCCTTGGGGGACTCCACTGTTGACAGGTACAGAATTTGATAGGGCGCTCCCAATTTTGACCATTTGTTGTCTGTTTGACAGGAATGCTTCTATCCAGTTAGTGTTTAGTATTTAGTTAATGTTGTTGCGTAAATTCTCTTGTTAGTTTGATTAAAGTACAAAACTACCCCCAATTTGTGACTTCCGGTTTGGGCTTCTTCAGCGACGGACCGAAATCGCGATCGTCTGCGGTTTTGATCCCTGCTCGCCACTGGAGCACCCCGAGCCGCCCGGACTCGAGGCTGAAGCCACCCTGTAGAGGTGGTGAAGAAGGGGGAGCCGTCAGCGGGGTTGAGGAGAGCCGCATCTCTCCTCCTCGGCTGGCCATTACTCCCTTTCCCAAAGGCGGTTGCAGCGGTGGTCAGAAATGGCCACCTCAAAGAAGAACCCGACTGGACAAGATTGTGCAGGAGGAAGTTTAAAGGAGAAAGTTTGACTGACCAGGTTGAATGGAGAACATCTATTTAAGGTACCTGGAACCTGAATTTTAAAGACTAATACTATTCCTAAAAAAGATTTTAAGCTGCGAAAGAGAAAGGGAAAGGAAACGGAATTGGCTTTTTTTCCTCTAGCATCGACAGTTTTAACTGACTTGGAACATTAAGAAGAAGAGATTCGAATAAGAAATTGATACTAATCCACTTTGACATTAATAGGCTATTTCTAGCTGAAAATAAAGTGTCAAAGGGATAAAGATTCTTGGATAATTTAAAAACTTTCTTTAAAAAAAAGAAAGAAAGCAGCGGAGGGAAAAAGGGAAAAAGAGGGTGCAATCTGGAAAATGGAGGAGACCACCTGGAACTTTAAAAAAAATTGATAGTGAAATTTTAACAAGACTTGCAAAAGATACATTGTAGCTGAAACTTTGTTACAAGAGAACAAAGCCCCTGGAAAGAGAAAGTGAGAAAAGAAGCAAGAAACAGTTTTGGATTATTGGATGATTCCTGGAACTTTGGATGGAGGATCCTAATGAAATAAAATAAAATCAATTGGGGGTTGTTTAATTTTTTTTAAAATGGCATCACTCCTTGAAGAGTTAAAAATGAGACTTAAAGAACAAAAAGAAGAAGCACAAGATGGAAGAGGATCTTTTGGCTTCGTATTTCAATTTTTAGAAATGGAAATCTTGAACTATGAAAAACAAGAAACGCTGGCAGAACAAGAAGGGCGGGACAACGAAGAAGCCATCTTTAATGACCAAGCAATTTTAAGCAGGGTAAAAAAGGGAAAGGGGGGAAAGGGAGTTAAAAACTTAAGTACTGAAGCAACAACCAAAAAAAAGAATAATTTGAAAAGTAATCATAATATCAGGAAGAAGCAGAAGGGAAGATCACAGAAGGGAGAATCAGATAGAAAAGGGAATAAAAAGGGGAGCAAGAAGAAGAGAGGGAAGAGGGAAAGGAAAAGAAGCTACAAAAGACAGAAACAAGATATAGAGGTACAGGAAAAACGTACAAGAATTAAAGGTATAAACCTATTTAAAAGACACAGAGACAATGGTTAAAATTTAACTTAAGGAGAGGATTCTGCAAAGGTGCATGGGATAGCATTGTTATATGTTAGAAGATTAAAGTGATAGAAAAAATTTCTATTGATGTGTAGTGGAATATTTGCTTGTAAAGAGAATAAGGCTCTCAGTGATTTAAAAAAAACATTTAAAAAAATGAAAAGAAACATGGAAGATTTTTATCAGTTGATAAGATGAACTTGAATAAGAATAATAACTTTATTGACTACTGTTAATAACTATTGTTTGGTTTTTTATTTAAAGACAGTAATAAAATATGAAATATAGATGATTAAAGTGAAAGACAACTGATATTACTAGGTAATGTTTGTTTAAAAAAATAGAAATGTAAAAGATTGTTATTAATATTAATGGCAGAGCTGTACTTGAATAGAATAATTATTCCATTTACTACTGTTATACATATATACACAGATATATATACATATATACTTTTTTCTTTTAAGAATTTAGTGTGTATTTTAAGGAAATGTACCAAGCAGAATTCGATTGAAAATAGATATGTGTTATAAAATAGAGGTTAGAAAATGAATGTTGTAACTGTAAAGATGTAACTTAAATTTTTAAATAAGATTTGAAAAAAGATACAAAGGTCTAGTAATGGCTCCAGTCTAGTAATTCCACTCCAGTCTAGTAATTCTAGTAATTACTAGACTCCACTCCAGTCTAGTAATTCCAGGGGAAAATTTGTTTTATGAGAAAAGATAATATGAAATTGTAAACAGGACAGATGAAAGTATAAAAACATTGATTAGAAAGATTTTAAAAATTAGAAAAAGATATGTAATTGAATTAAGAAAGGAATGAGAAATGAATGAGATAACTTAAAATAAGGCGATAGGAAGTAAAGAAAGGGAAAAGCTATTGAAAAAATTGTGAAAATAGTTATAAGGTATGGATTAGAATGTATAAGATAAATATGTATTGAGTTTATATCTGTATGGAGAAGTGATAACCCCGGGCCACGCTGTTCTCAAAAAAAGATATTTTATTTGTATTTGTATGTTTTGTGAAAACTTAAATGAAACTTTTATTTTTTTAAAAAAAACTACCTCCAATTTGCCATGTTTTGACCTTCCACGCCAGCATTGGTCAATTCTGAACAGGATCCTTATCCAATATGGTGTCTGCCAGGACTCATTGTTTAAGTGGAGTCTTGTCTGTACCCTTCTGTGTGACTGTGGTGCTCGTCAACAAAATATCCATCACTTTGTGTCTGAATGTTCATCAAGAGCTTACTCTGGCCAGTGTCTGATTTTTTTCAGTGTAGACCACCCCGTCCTTGAATGGCTGGGTGGTCTGAACATTAACATTTGAATGTATTTGCCATATGCTAAATAAAATAAGCTATCTCCAATACATAATATAGACCAAAACCAAACACTTTTTAAAAAATCATAAATTGTAATCTGGGCATCTGTGTCTTCTTTACCTGAAAAAACTGCCAGAAAAACTTTGCTCAGGCTTATGATCCTGGCAGATAACCATTTTCATTTACATTAAGCACTCTTTCTGTAACTTTCTGTTCCCTAATGTAGGAATACCTTATTTTTTGTGAACTATTTTCCAGAACCAGAGAGAAATAATGATTTTTGTACCACAAAGTTTGGAAATCATGATGAAATATAAAGCATTTAGGTATACTGCAAAGATGAAGTACTAGTATATAAAACAATTTTGTATTCTTTTTCTTCCTTTCAGGTTGACTTTGAACAGCTTCAGGATAACTTATGTCAAATGGAAAAAAGATGCAAAGCATCATGGGATCATTTGAAGGCCATTGCGAAGCATGAAATGAAATCAACATTAAAGCAGAAAATGTCAGAGTTTCTTAAAGACTGTGCAGAAAGAATAATAATTTTAAAAATTGTCCACAGGAGAATAATCAACAGGTAAAGCATTAAGGCACAGTGTGATTAATATATAAAAATTATGTGATAGCATTATGCGTTCTCAAAATACCTGGAGGTTATTGTCAAGATATAATTGATATAAGTACTTAATGTTGTTTTAAACTAAATTCTTTAAGATGGTTCCATGAAGCCCATCTGACTGACTGTCCCACAGAAAATCTCCAAAGTTCATCAGGGTAGCATTCATTAAAACATTTCCTGCTTACCCATTCCATGGGCCACACCTTTTCCAATCCAGAACCCAGGTGCCAACCCTTAGTTCCTCTAATGCCTACTCTGACCTAGGGATTTTTAACCAGGTTGGAGGAAGGTAGATGGTAAGGAGGGGAAATCCTACTGCCATGACATTTGTGGCATGCTGAGTACTCCCTTCCACAAAAAAAATCTACATTTACATGGAGATTGAAATTGGTGTGATTAGTCAGAGCAATCAAATGTAAGTATGGAGCCACACTGATTACGTTTCTCCTCTGTCTGGATAATATGTGCAAAGTTAAAAATGAATTGTGTGATGACCCCACTCCCTTTAAAGTTGCTATGGATCTCCCAGTGGATTATGACCATACATAGAGAACACATGGTCAAGAGGGGAAAAGTTTCTCCCTAAAACTATTGCTTGATTTATTCCAAATATTTTACATTCTTTTTTTAATTCCAGCAACAAATATTTTAGATTCATTTTATTTTATTTTTCATTAAGTTATCTTTATGATAAAATCTACAATATGCTACAGATAATCCTCAAGGCCCAACAGGCTATATATTTCATACAGTTTCAAAATTATGACTAATCTCCCCAAAACTATTTATGTTCCCATTTCAAAATTATGACAAGTCTGCAGCAGACTTGAGGTCATGACAGGGTTTCTGTAGGAAACCCCTCCCCATTTTACTCCTCTGGAAGCCTGCAGCACTTGGGCCTACTCCCCACATGTCTATCAGGTCCCATTCTTGCCTTCTGAAGCTATCCAGACTTTATGTTATGGAAGGAGGGCAGGCCATGTGCCCCTGGGCTGTGTTGCAGCTGCTGCATCCAGCAAGAGTCTTCACTCCCATCCGCTCTTTGAGCAGGAGCTCCATATAAAAGGAACTGTCAAACGGAATCAGCTGTTCTCTGTCAGCCGGCTGCCTGGTTAGCTTGCGGCAAGCCATAGCTGGGTTACTTTATTGCAATAAAGCCTGTTAGCTTTAATCTAGCCTCTGCCTCTTTATTCCTACACGCTAAACTTAAAAACAGCAATCCAAATCCAGTGGCCATTTTGTCCCCAGCCATGAACAGATGGGGACAAAATGGCTACCATCAGATAAACTACTTCATTTTGTTGTCTTAGACTTAGGGAGTTTTTCAGTACTGTGCAGAACCTATTGAGCCAGCATAACAAAACAGATGTCTTTGAGCCATGCAGCAGTGACCCAAATGCAGCTTCCCTTTTGTCCCCACCCAGAAATGAGAGGGGACAAATGGTGGCTCCCAAATAAATTGGGCTCAACACTGATGCTAGGGTGTGTTGGTGTGTGTGTGAGAGAGACAAACAGACAGAGACAGTAAGTATTCAGATTTCTGTCCTAGACCCGATGCATTTCGATATTTTATGAAAATTGAGATTAAATGTTCAGCAAATTTGCAATGATACAAAGCTGGTTGGGAGGAATTAGTAGCAGCTCAGAAAGCAGGCTTGAGATTTAAAAGGAACTTCAAAGATTTTAAACATTGGGCCTTTTCCATTAAAATGTAATTCAGTGGTGACAAGTTCAGAGTTCTATTCTTAAGAAAATGTAAGTGAACAGTGAACAGGATAGATGATACCTGGCTTAGCAATAGTGCTTTGGAAGAATTTTGGATTGCCCAATAAATTATAGTATAAGCCTGAGTTAGTAATATGCTTCAGCTACCAAAAGAGCAAATATATTTTTGACTGCATCAACAGGGACACATTGTTGAGATTATAGGAAATGATAGCTCTGATGTATGCTACAATAGGCCACATCTAAATACTGTGTCCAGTTTTATTTGCCACAAATAAAAATGCAAAGAAACTAGAAAGTATTCAAAAAAGAAAGACAATGAGGGGCTTGGATGCTAAATCTTAAGAACTGAGTACGTTTAGCCTAAATAAGAGGCTAAGGAGGGTCATGATAGCTATCTTCCAATGCTTGAAGAGGTATCATGGAAGAAGGTATGGATTTATTTTTCATAGAGTCCAAGAACAGGGTAATGAATCAGCAATTGGAAGCATTAAAAGAGATATCAAAATCAGAAATGAGGAATTTTCTGCCAAAAATGATTTGACATTGAAATATTCTACCACTGGAGTTCTTCAAATAAATGTTGGATAGCCATTCTTCTGAGAGGAGGGCAAGAATTCCACTAAAGGAGCAGTTTGTTTCTTCTCTTCAATTAAATCCAATCTATTTCTCTGAAAAAATTAGGGGAAAGACATTCAAGACCAAAATTTAAAATAAAAAGTTGGCTAGAAAAATGAGATTGTTCTGACATAATGGGGAAATGAAAATAGCAGTTATCAAACTAGCATCAAAACAAATGAAATCATATTCTGATTGATTATAAAGCCAAAGTCTCCTTCAAATCAAGCTTGACTCTTGATGCTTACATATCAATCTGTAACAATATAGCCATAGTTCCCCATTGCCTTTTTCTAGAACATTTTAACCCACTAAAACAAAGAGGAATCCTGAAAAAAAAATATAAATGTGGAGTAAGCAGAACAACAACAAAAAAAGCAGAAAAAGAAATGGTGATGAGTGATTTTAAGGCTCATTAGCCAGATGTCCTGAAGATACATTTGTCACAGGTTCGTTCTTTTTCAAAAAAAAAAAAAAAGGAACATTTCAATATCTCCTTAGAAATTAAGATTATTCCCTGAAACTCTTTACACACAGCACAACTGATTCATAAATACAAAATAAAATAACCATTTCGTCTTTTTACTGCCCTTTCCAGAGAATAAAATATTTCTTAAAATCCAAGTTTCACACTAAAGTCAGGTATTTTGTTTACATACATAATATTCCAATAAAAAGTATTGGTATTGTGCAGAATATTATGTAAGAGGGGAAATTAGTCACTAATTCTTAGAATAACTAAGTTTTTTTAAGTTGAATCCATTCAGAACTTTTATCTGCTTTTCTCATCTACATCAGCTGAGTTATTTTAGTTGTGCAGTTATTAACAATTCATTGTTAGCAAGACTTAAAAATAATGTTGTGTATGTATTTCTCATAATATTTAAATATATTTTCATTACTTGTTTAAAAATAATGGAGTATAGTGCAGTTCATAATGAATAAATACTACTTGGGAACAAGGAAATAAGCCATTTTTAACAATAGATTGCTACTATTAGATATCTAAATCTGAACTTTATCAAAACAACAAAAATGGATGGTATACATATCTTTTTCTTTATTAAAGTATTTCCAAACATCCTTACCTTGCTGACATTAGATTAACATTAATTAAATAAAATCAATGTTATTCAGTTTATCCATTCCCCCAAAATTTATTTTATGTATCATCACATGAAAGTTAAAGAAGAAATCACAAACTATGTCTTTGTTGTCACTCTCTTTATTTTTATAAATCCTTGGAATGAAGGCAAAAGGATTCAAAGGCATGAAAAACAGATATCTGGGAAACATAAAATATAAATTCATAATTCAAAAACATTTATTTTTAAGAGAATTTAAGAGTTGAAAGGAGGTCTTCTATCCCCAAAATGCCAAACTTTGGTTTTCTACATGAAAAGAATGGTTGGGGGCATTCTGTTACTAAACTATAGAAAAAATTCTAAAAGGTAACTTGTTATGGTTGTCTAGGTTCCACTCCTTCTTGTTATTTTTGGGCTATCCTCTTTATGCAATCCGTGAAATCAACATCAATAAATTCTGCAAAATTATTTGTGAATTTGCACTGGAGTATCGTACCACCAGGGAACGGGTTTTGCAACAGAAACAGAAGCGAGCCAACCACAGAGAAAGGAACAAAACCAGAGGGAAAATGATCACAGATGTAAGTTGAAAATAAATCACATGCAGTAATATATATATATATCTGGGGGTTAGTTGCTGATAAACTTATCCACTGTTATTCTGATATTTCCAAAATTAACCATAGTTAATTATAACTAATGTCAACCAAACTGAAATTAGATTTAAAATTCTGATTTAATATAAATCATTTTGCTGCTGAAGAATTGTTGCTAAACTGACTAATGAAAAAATAGTAGTAAGAAGAATTTTAGGATCAGAAAATCAGAGAGATGTCAGAGTATAATGTGTAGTTCCTTATATATTTTTTCAAACAGAACAGCAATTAGAATTGACAAGTCCATTCTCTTTTTTCTCTATAGACTGAATTTATTTTTCATGTTAACATTTGTTATGATAGTTATGATTTACAACTGTGATGGGCAGACATCATTACAATTGTAAGTCGAGGGTTACCTATATCTATGTTCACTTTTGTCCTTGTCTCTTGTGCAGGAAAGCATAATTATCAGGTTTCTCTGCTTGCATAAACAAGTTATTATTCACAAATTATCATTGCCTACATATTCTGCCTGCATGAAAAGCAGATTATTGAACTACATTCACTTATTAGAGTATATTAGAGAGCAACAATATGATTATGAATGTGTTGTGGCACAGAAAATGGCAGAAATTAAAATTACATTTCATGGATATTGGTAAAAGTACTTCAGACTCAGTACTTGCTAACATTATACAAAGTAGTCCTCAACTTATGACTATAATTTGGACCAGAATTTCTGTTGTTAAACAAGGCATTTGTTAAGTGAGTTGTGTTCAGATATCTTTTTAACCATCTAATCAGGATTCTCTACTTTCTCAGAGCTGCAGTTTTCTTTTTTTTTCAAAGTCTGACTCTCAAAGTACATTCATAGCATGAGCTACCTAAGCCAGAGCAACCAGGGTGATATTAAAACAATATGACAGAAGAAAGCAAAAACTGCAGGCACAAAACATACAGAGAAAGGGGCTATTTCCATATGCTAATAAAGAAGTTTTTATTAAGGCCCACTGCATTTCAGATTTTTTTCCCTTTTCAATAGCTCAACAGAAATAATGTAAAAAGGACTTTAGAATGATTTGTAACATACACATAATAGTACTTCCTAACATTGACAATTTTCATTGTGTATATTCAAATAATTCAATAAAAGTCTAAAATAGAATAGTTTCGAGTTATATTCAAGTAACAAATCATTTTCAAAAAGCACTATTGTAAAAGCTATACAGTATCCTGTCCTAAAATTTACATGGACCAAACTAGTACAACTGTCAAGACCAGAATTTGTAACTCAAGGTTAGATGTTTAAATTAACACTTAAATTTAACATTTAAAACCACCAAACATATAAAATAACACTGTATTCAAAGTTCATTAGTGGAACATTGTACTTCAGATGTGTGTTTTTGAACCATTTTATATATGTGTGAATATCACACTGCTTATGCAAAAAGCACAACTTGCATCATGACAACTTAGTGTTGCTTTTCTAATTTCTTCCTTATATCCTCTGGCATAGACTTCTGATAGGATATTTTTAAATGATGTTGCTGAAATCAAAATAGTTTACATTTACTTCTTGTCTACAATTTATTCCCCAAAGTTGAGATAAAAGTCGTATTCATTAAAAATGTACCCTAACTTTAGAGTAATCAATACATTGTTTTCAATATACTTATAAATCAATTTCTTTATCATATGCTGTAAAATCTCTCAAGATATCAATGTTCATATTCCCTATGATAATCTATAATTCCTAAATCAGTCTTTCTTTTTTAAACCTTGATAATATATTTGCTTTCCTCTAACATAAATAGGCATTTTACTTGCTCAACAAGTTTTCTGAAAAGTAATAAAGTAAATACAGCTTTTCATACCATCAACTAGTTTCTTCAGCACTAAGGTATATTTCTTCTGAATCTGAAGGAGTAAATTCTTAAATATGTAAATCTTCAGTTAAGAATGGTCTTACTCAGTCCAAACAGCTCAAGAAATCTCTGATACTTGAAATTTGATTAATATTGAAGAACTTTCAGACTATGTTTACATTTCTTTACATCTAGCTTCTCACAAAGAAACTGCACTTTCTGTATTCTCATTCATATACTGTATGTGTGCATGAATTCACCATATAGATGTGTGTGCACACAAACACATACACAAACACACACAGCTTAAGTTAAGAGAAATGAAGATTTAAACCTTTTGCTGAATGATGTGAAAAATCCACAAATCATTGTAATTAATTTTTCAGTAAAATGGAGCACAATTTGCAGACAGAGAAAACTTTTTAAGAGAATTAATCTGCCGTATTGCAAACAAATAAATACTGGTATTTTTGAAACTAGGCTGCCTCAAAACCTAATCTTTCTTAAAATGTAGAAGTTCTTTAATTTTTAATTTTTTTCAATAGATTTTAATGTTTATTTGCAGACATTGACTGTCCTGTGAAAATCAATAGGCTAAAAGTCATTATATGCAGAAATGTTTGTCCAAGAGAACATTTCTAATATATGGTGGTAAAAACAAAAAATCCAATTCTCCTTTCTAAAATGTTTAACAAATAGTATCTATAAAATTAGTAAATAATCTTGAATTCTAATTGGTAAGAAATATGACAAAGAAGTGAACAGGTTTCGAAGCTAGGTTTGCATTCAGTGAAATTAATTCACATGTCATTGTTTATCTACATAAAAGCATCAACTATTTCACCAGATGCTATCTAATTTTGACCCCATACTAGCTAGTAACCTCTTTTCATTTAATGACAAAATCAGTGAAACCTAGCTCAATACTTCCGCTATAAAGATTGAAGGGATTGCATTTGTAGCAATCATTTCTAAAGTAAAAGCCTGCAGCACCCAAAAACTTTAAATTATTTTACTAAAGATAGAAGTACTGTATCAGTTTCTAATTTTAATTTTCAGGCTGTTAATAACAATAGGGGATAAATTATTTAGCACAATTTTCAGATGGATTTCTTTTCTAGCAAAAATTCTAGCAAGAATTTTTAAAACTCCAGTTCCTTTGTATCAACAGAGGAATAGTATCAAAATGACAGGAAGTGATAATTCCACTATATAAAGTACCACTTTATAAAGCACTGGTAAGACTACACTTGAAATATTACATAATTTAAAGTTGGATCTTATTGTCAATTTTAATTCTCTTGTACAAAAGAATTGTGGTAGTACCATGCCTGTTCAAAGATTTAATTCTTGTTTAGACTGCTTGCTCAAAATTGTTCTGCAGAAAAAATATATTACTAGTTGCTATTCGTTGTCACAGCTTTTTTATTTTTCTTTTCCAGATCAACATTAATGAAATGTGGATTATTTTTTAGGTTGCAGTAACAAGCTAACATGAATATAGATCATTTGCAGGTTTCTTCTGAGCAAGGCATCCTTTTCTTTACTGTACTGTATTGAATATTTATTTTCTGGTTATAAAACCAGTACATATTTTATAATTGTTTAAATAAGTTAATGTCAGACCCAAAACCAGAAATAAGACTGTGAGATCCAATTGAATTCAATCTTTTATTTGCTTGCACCTAATGGACAGAAACTTGCCAAAGTAAAGGAATAACTTTCTAATTTACTAAACATACCTTGAGAGAGTCTATCATATGGCTAGCCTTCCCCCTCCCACTTGGTACAGCAGTCTCTTAACCGGGCCTCTTTCTGGGAAGGCTCTGATTGACCAAGTACTCCCCCTCTGCTGCTGTGGATGCACATTTCATCACAGTTAACAATATATGACTCTTGATGCTATTTTGGATCAGGTAGTATAAAAAGAAACTCCTCATTTTATTACTCTGTTATTGAGATGAATATGGTTATGTTCAAATTGTTATCACTTATATGCACACCCCCAATTAAATAATTGTTTAATCTACAATAGGAAAAAGGTAAGATAATAGAATAAAAGATTCAGGATGGACTATTAGGCTACTGAATTTCAACAACTGGTGAAGTTGTTGGTGCTTCTTTACTGGATGTTTTAAGAAGAGATTGGACAGCCCTTTATCCAGAATGGTATATGGTCTTCTGCTCAAGCAGAGAGTTAGACTAGTAGACCTCCAAGATCCCTCCCAACTCTGTTATTATGTATTCTGTAAATATATCTACTAAGTTCCATGGCATTTTAACTGACCAAGTCTTACTAGCCCCATGCTTAGGATTATCCAGTTAGAGCCCCACAAGGAAAAGGTGATGCCAGATAGTCAAGCTAGCTTTAGAAAAGCTCAGGGAACATGAGGCATTTTGCCTGTAATTGAGAAAGCCAAAGAGAAATCACAATATTTCAGTGATTATAAGTCTTCAGTAGTGTCAGTTTTGTCCCACTATAGAATGTGCTTATAAAAATGAGATTCTTGAAAAGTTGGAAAAAAATAGCAAGAGAATGAGCAGCCAAGCCTGAAAGCCAAACAGTTGGGACCATGAATGGTGTTTTCTCCCGTACTCCCAAAAGAAGGTCAACATACAATGAGGAACTGGTGGATTTTATAACTAAATAATAGTGTTTTCAAGAGAACTTTGGACTTCTGCCACTATTTAAAAGAAGAATTTTAAATCAATACTCTGGAAAAGAAATAATATTCTAGGAATATTCTTGTAAAATTCTTCCCATTAATGACAAATCTAATTTTTCCCATCTGTGTGAATACAATTTTATCTCATTCCACATTTTAATATATTTTTCTATAAACTAGAATTTTCATTAGTAAGAATCACTCCCAGGTACTTTATCTTTTTCACAACTTTAATTTCCGTTTTATTTTCTAATTTTCCAGTTCAAATTGTCCAAAACTTTCTTTGCATCTAAGAAAATTAATGAAACCTGTTTGTCACTACATTGTTGTAGCTGTGAGATTACTCTCACATTATCCATTAGTTGTAGAAAACCATACATATACATATACATATACACACACACACACACACACACACACACACACACACACACACACACACATATATAATCTTGTAACACTTTTTTAAGTCTTTCAGCTAAAGTAAACAATTTTATAAACATTATTAAAAAGAGAAAATAGTCTGTAGTGCTTCGCAGTTTATCCTGTCTCTCCTTGGGTATGAAAGAAACACCAATTTCTTTCCATGAATCAGGCATAGCATTTCCTGAAAAATAGAATGCATTAAATCCTTTATCAGAAAAGTAGTTGATCTTCAAACATTTTGTAATTCCACTCAATAAGCCATCAAAGGCCTGGAGCTTTATCTTAGCTCTTTTAATTGTTTTGGTTATTTCAAGACTATTCATAATTTTCTCCTAATTGCCTCATAGCTTTGAAATCAATATACACTAAAGTATAATCATTAACACATTCTAATATAACTTTGTGTCTTTTATATCGATTAGTTTAATAGTTCCAAAAGAAACTACATATTTGAAAAATATGTTTTTTTAATGTGCATTATTGTAAAAGTACATTATTATGTACATTATTACATTATTAAATGTTTTAGTTTTAAAATTAAATGATTAAATACTTTAGTTTCAAAGTTAAATTATTAAAAATTAATAAAATTAAATATTAAAATAGTCTTGGAGTACTTATATGCATTCTGTGGTTTCTGCAAAATAGATTCAATTAATCTCCATTTAAAAGATGGATTTAAATTTAAGGTTAACATCATTGGATTGTGATCAGAAAAAGATTTTAGAAGAATGTTAGCTTTAATATTTTGTGAATCAAACTTTTAGTAATCTATATCATATCAATTCTAGAAAAGGATTTCTGTCTCTCTGATTAAAAAGTGAAATATTTTTCCAGTCCATACATCACCGAACCTAAAGTATCAATCGATTTTTAAAAAACAGTTGGGGCAGTTTCCCTTATATTTCTTTAATTCCTTTATCAGCAGATCTGTCCAACTGTAGGGTTTCTATGTCATCAAGTCCTCAAGTATACACCAATATTGAAAAGAAAAGGAGAATAGGTGTTTGTAAAACTTAGCTTTTTCTTGGCATGGGGTATATACACCAACTACAATAGATTTTATTCCCTGTAGTTCAATTTGCACAATTATATACCTTGATCGTCAGCAAACAATAAATGTATTTGTAATTGGGAGTTTATACACAAAACTACCCCATTGGTTTTATTTTTGTGATTGGCCAAGATATATTCCAATCCTAAATTTTTACTTACTAAACATTTTTATCAGTTTCTTTAATATGGGCTTCTTGCAAGCATATTATATCTTGGTTGTGTGTTTTTTTTAATATTGAAATTGTATTTTTATTTCTTTTTTGTGGGGAATTTGCCCCATATTAAAATCTTAAAATCCATCCTTATATGATAAAAAGTTTTCAGGTATTCCAGCTATGGCTCCCATCTCTATAGCATGTCCTTGGTCACTGCCAGACTTCTTTTTAACTTTTTCTTCAAGGCCAGTTCTTGTGGTAGTTGATCTTTATTTTGTGGGAAGTGATGCAGTTTGGATCTATATCTTTCGGGAAAACTTTGTGCTTTGGGTACTGAATGTAATATAAAATGTTGATAATGCCTTCCACTTTATTCCAATGAAAGAGAATGTTGTTTTGCTTTAAAAGATCTATCAGAAAGGAGTATTCTTTATATTTCGTTAGTATTATAATTTGGATTACTATAAATATTTGCACTTCCTTCCTAAGGATCATAAATCTCTGTTGGTAATATTTCTGCATCTCCAGTTCTTTAATAGATTTTCTCACAAATGAAATTATGATGTCTCTTAGCAACTATCTTCTGGTTGCATATGTTGAATTTATTTTGTTAATCATATCAGTTTCCTTGGAGTAGTCTAATTTAAGAGATGTAATTGCAACAGAAATGTCTAAATGATTAAACTATTTAGAAATTTTTGTTACAATTACATCTCTTAAATTTGTACCTTTTCCCCCATTTTCTGGTAAGCCTCTCAGAAAAAATATTTTTCCTTCAAATTGAATAGTAATAAATTAGACTCTAATTTTATGTCTGCATATTTTTATATATCCTTGTCTGTATATTTTTAACGTCTTTTTTAGATATGTTTTAACTCTGTTACTAATTATTCTAACTTTTTGTCTAATTTTTAATTCATATTTTATATTCATATCTTGGTCCTACTCATTCCTTCCTATACTAAACTCAAGTGAGAAAATACTATTCAGGGAGCTAAAACAGGCCAATTTAAAAACAAGAACATCCCAGAAACATCTTCCTGCTCCACACATTCCATCAAGGGCAGATCGAGATCTTTTAAATCCTTTCACTTTACAGCAACAGTCCCCAACCTTTCCAGTCCCCACCTTACAAGCAGTACTCCCCAACTTTGATGGACTTGCGAGGGTGGGGAGAGAGGATTGTTCTGTGTGAGTGGCGGATATATGTATATACAGCTCCATCTGTATGCAAGTGCGCCTTCCCACCATTCATGCAAAAGGAGCTTCGTGCACAAATGTGCCCACCCATCACTCACAAGTGGAGTTTTCCAAACAAGTGTGCCTCTTGCACAAATGGAGCTTTGCATGCGAGCAGCCCAGGGATTGTAGATTCCACCTTACAGTAAAATCAGGTTTACATAAATATTCTGCAAATGTAGCCTTGCAAGAACATAGAATAAACATACCTGGTCGTTTTTCCTATCTTGTCTACCAGGAAGACTAACATCAATTTTGCAAATAAGGAAGTACACATCTCTAGCAATATCCTTTGCAGTTTGAGAAACTGCAGAAGGACTTAGACTCTTTTTCCACCCAATATTTAGCTAGGGACTGTGCCCTCTCTATCCCTGGGTAGCATTTCTTCACCCCATGCTTCATAGTCTTCCTCAACATTCCACTATAGAAGGTTGCCTATTCTCTGGAACATACTATTTCATCCCTCCCTCCCCCTCCCCACAAACCCCAAGTTCGCTTGCCTTTGTGAATGCTGTTAAGATCTAGCTCTTTCTCTAGGATTACAGGACAGTTGAATGGCCCTTTCAGTTATTTTTATTATGGTGCTTGATCACCTTTTTATGTTCTATATTTTAATACTAATATTTATGTATTGTGATATTTTATTATTCTTTTTCAATTTACAGGGATTAAACAGCTTATAAATCTAGTAAATAAATAAAAATAACATAAACACTCATAAAGGACAAGAAGTAATGGAGAGGAGCTTATCAAAAAGAGATCCAACTTAGAATTAAGAAGAAACTTCCTGACAGAACAATTAACCAGTGGAACAAGTTGCCTCCAGAAATTGTTGGTGCTCCACCACTGGAGGTTGTCAAGAAGAGACTGGACAGCCATTTGAAATAATATAGGGCCTCCTGCTTGAACAGGAGATTGGACTAGAAGACCTCCAAGGTCCCTTCCAACTCTGCTGTTCTATTATTCTCATATGACTGTTGAAGTTTACAGAAACCCAAAATACTTTATAAATGTGACAACATTCGTTTTAATTAAAATCCTGAGTTTAGATTGGGAAATTCCTATTTTATGTCCATTTTCAATCAAAAACAGTTTCTTGGTGATTTCAGGACAATTTTTTTACTCACACTTTTAACTCACAGACTTGTTAGGAAATGCTTTTTTTGCCACTTTGAATTTCCAGAAAAAGGGTTTGACAGAATGCAGAGTGTTCCAGAAAAACTCAGAATGGCTGTTGGCCTCAGTAATAATGGAGATTTCAAGAAAGAAAATAACAAGGAAAATGGAGGGGGAAATTTAATTGACTTAATTGACCTTTAATTGACCTCCAGCATATTCCGTAGATATCTTTATCTATGGAATATGTTGGAGAACGTGACGATAAATTGCAGACAAGGCTCCAGTGTAATTTATTATTGAAACAACATTCCCATAATATAAAATTTGGGATTTTTATTGTTCTGTGATATCATGAAAGATGCACATTAATACTTGATTTTTATATTACATATTTTATCTATAATACAGAAGCAGAGTCGTAATTTTTTTGATAGCTAGTATGTTGACATTATACCTTACCTAATGCTGCTTCCTATCCTTCTCTGTTCTATTCCTTGTTCCACTGGTAGACAGATGAAGAAGATGACATTGAGGTATGGTTCTGACAAAAGCATGTTCTGTTCAAAACTGATTGCTGTGAGAACTATTGATAACAAAGGCAGTTCCATGGGAATGCTTCATTATCATGCTTTGTGGCTGGAATTCTTATATCTGCAGTTCTGTATTTTCATAACTATTTTTCATACTTATGTCCATTCCAATATCCCCATATTCACATCATCAAAATTTGGGCACTTGGCAACTGGCATATATTTATGATAGTTGCATTGTCTCAGGATCATGTCATCACCATTTGTAAACTTCCCAGCTGGCTTCCAATAAGCAAAATCAATGGGGAAAGATAGATTTGCTTAATGACTGCATGGTTAACTAACAAACTGAAAAAAACTATGGCGAAAAGATCATAAAATGGGGTAAAACTCATTTAACAACTGTCTTGCTTAGCGATGGAAATTGTGGGTTAAGATGTGGTCACAACTTGAGAACTACCTATATGGCACTTTTTCTTTCAGCATGATGACTAATTGGTTATCTAAAAAAGCATGGCAAGTCTAAGCATTATAGATTTATGCCCATTTGCCACAAAGATTGTTAATCCTAAATTTCACATTGCATTGTAGAAATTATGACCATCAAATACTCTGTAGGCAGTCCACCTTTGGCCACTGCAATCTGTTCTGGTGACATGCTTGTTAAGAAACTTAGTTGCTACCATAGATGCTCATGAATGGGAGAACCACTGTGAAAATCACTGGTTGCTACCACATCATTTGGATAAAATTTTTATGTTTAATGATGCCAGGGATACAATAGAACCCCTGGTCACTACCATAATTTGTTCCATAACTTTGGCGATTTCTTCGTCTTTTAATGTTTAGTCTTCATGAATTTCTGGGTCAGTAGTCGTGTTTGATCGCCATCCGAGTATGTGTTTGTGACCAGATTCAAAAATTTTGTGAATTTTTTGGTCAGAATCCGATTTGGTCATGGTTAGAAGCGTATTTTGAAAATGTTCACTAACTAAGGTAGTTGCTAAACAAGGCCTGGTTATATTATTAGAAGAAAAGAGGTTGTTATGGCAAGTTCAGAAGATAATCTGAAGTAGAAAAACAGGTAATATCAAATACCAGTTATCTTTTCTCTTCTTCATATCATGTTTGTCATGGGAGACTAGAAGGGAGACACCCTGTAAAAAATACAACAAAATAAGCAATTGTATACAATTTAAACACAAACACCAGAAGCAAGAAATGGAGTGCACAAATATATTTTATTGGAGATGTTTAACATTGTGAAGGAATTCATCAGGTTGTAAATATTATCTTTGTATTATTTAGTGTTCCACCTTTGCTTTCTTTCACTCAGCTTCTGCGTGATATAAGTAATTATAGAGGATCTCAGCATCATTTCTACTTGAATAAGAACAGAAATGCCTTGAGATAACTTTGCTTTGATAGCTCTGAATGACTCATTTTTCTGGCCCTTGTTTCTGCTTATTTAGGGTCAGAAAACTGAGGTAGACCTTTCCAAAGGTAGCTTTTTTTCCTTAGATATATTTCAGATTAGCAGTTATTTCCATATATTATAGGAATTTTTAATGTTTTAAATTTTGCAATCAATACTGCAAATAGCTTCTAAATACTATAAGGTTCACATTTATACTTGCTTGAATCACTTTAAGTGATTGTCCACCAAGAGTCCAAGATTCCTCTTGCATTTACTGCCAACTTTCATTTTGTTGCCTAAGTGTAAAATCTTACTTTTCTCTGCCCTGAATTTCATTTTGTTAGATAGGTTCCAATTTTCCATCTGGATCTTAAACCTATCTGTTGGGTATTCCTGCCAACTTGGTCTTGTCTGCAAATTCGATAAGTTCCCTTTGTATTTTCTCATATAAATAAAGCTATTAAAGAGTACTAGGACAGAACTAAGACAGAACCTTGGGGTATCCTACTGTTTACCTCCCTTCATATAGTTGTAGTTCCATTAAGAACTACATATTGAGTGCAATTTGCCAGCCAGTACAAATCCATTTAGTGGTAATGCTGCCTATTCCACATTTTTTTCCACTTACTAAGAAATAGGTTATGGTCTTCTTTGTCAAATGTCTTCCTGAAATCCAAGTATATTATGTTCACAGCATTTTGCTAATCCGTTAATTTAGTCACTTTTACAAAGAATGAAATAAGATTTGTTTGGCATGATCTGTTTTGGACAAACTCATGTTGGCTTCTGGTTATAACTCTGCTTACTTCTAGGTTTTTGCCGTTCTGTTGCTTGATTATCTTTTCCAGTTTCTTATCAAATATTGAGTTATGATTGGTCTGGGGTATTTTTTTCCCTTTTTTGAATTTGGGATCAGCTCTTTCCCAGTCCTCTGGTAGTTCCCTGATGCTCCAGGATCTTTGAAAGATATGGTTCAATGGTTCCGAGATCACAGCTGCCAGCTCCTTGAGATCTCTGGGATGTAATCCATCAGGTCCCAGTGATCTAGAGTGGACTGGTGTTCTCTTATCATTTTCTTTTTTATTTTAATTTCTATTCCTAATCTATCTTTTGCGGTTATGTTTTGGTAAGTTGGGCTGTATTTTTTTGCATGAAGACAAATGCAAAGAATGAATTAAGAAGCTCTGCTTTCTCTCTACTGCCCATTGCTTCCTTGCCATCTTCTCTAATTAATGAACCAATTGTTTCCTTTCCTTTTTTTTTGTTTTTATATATTGAAAGAAACCTTTTAATTAGAAAGAGTCATAGTGGCATAGAGGTTAGAATGCAGTGGGCGTTTTTGCCATTTTTTTCAGTGAGGGGTTCTAAAAATATGTGGTTTTTACACCAAGAATTCAAATCTGTTGTTATTTTTGCAATTGCACAATGTTTAGCTTGGTATGATAAATCCCACATGCGATCATATACCTCACAAAAGTGTCTTGTAAACCAAATATTGTTAACTATCTTCTCAAAATTATACCTTGTGCTACAAAAATTAAAGCTTTTTTCTGCATGAATTTTACCTAGCTAAGCAAAAAATAATCCATGCAATCATAAACTAATATCGGAAAGCAATTATCTGAGTTACAAAAATGTTTAAGCGAGTTTCATCAAGACTTGTTTTGATTCGTTCTTCAACATCAGCCACCAACTTGCTTCTTGGCCTCTAATATAACCCTCATGTTTCTCATGTGTATACACTCTGCTTGCTGCCTCTGTGATCTGTTCCACACATGTCTCTATTGTTTGGACATTACAGGACCACTGTGGTACTTGCATTGGTTTGTCAACCCCTCATATCAATGACCAGCTCTCCTCTCTCTTTATACTAACATACTTACGTTATAGAAAACATTCACATTTTATATACATATAACAGTGATCTTTCTTCATCTAACTTTTATCTCTTATCTCTATCCATTGATATAATCTATTCCATTTTGAATAATACTCTGTGTCTCTTTTATTTTTAATGTCTGTCTATCCATCTCTGCAGAGTCCAATATTTTCCAAATTATGTCTTCATCTGGTAGGGTGTTCTCATTTTTTCAATATCCTTCAGATACAATTCTCGCCGCTATCAATACATGTATTAAATATATAGTTCCTTTATCATAACTTTCTGATATTATACCTAACAAAAATATTTCTGGTTTTAAATCTATATGATGCTTAACCATCTTTTCCAACCATGTGTGTATTTTTGTCTAATATTTTCTTGCTTTCACACATGTCTATCACATATGATAATAAGTACATGGGCTCTGGTTCGAATTTCAACATTCGGCGGACATATTTTTAAACATTTTTGCTAATCTTGCCGGTGGCGGATGCCACCTGTAAAACATTTTTAAAAGGTTTTCCTTATATACAGTAGCCATTGTCAATTTGTAATTTTTTTCCAAAAGTTTTTGCTATTTGTCTAGTTCTATAATATAGCCAAAAAAATTTGCCTTCCATCAATATATTCCAATCATGCATTTCATCCCACCAAGTTTTGATAACGATAACTATATCATATTTGCCCTTGTGTACTAGTACTTCAAGTACCAGTATTGTTTGTTCTCCAAACTTTGAGGGTTTGTGTATAGGCATTTGAGTCCTTTAGGGCTGAATCTGGGTATGCTTCCGATATCTCCTTCTTTAATCTGAGGTTTCCTTTCTTTCCATCACTCCCTATCTCATTGTTTGAAAATATATATACTTTTCAATTTATAGGCTCTGAATGAAAATTTAGATTAAAGATCTGATGATTTAACAACAGTCATAACTCAACCTAAGGATAATATTCAGATATAGGTAACAGCAGCTAAATCAGACTTGCAATTGGGTGGATTAGAAGTCAATTTGTTGCTGACAGAATTGAAAGAGAAGGAGCTTTGAGAATTTCAGGCATGTTGGAGAAGGCTGAAAAGGGCATGAGTTTAAAAGACTTAGTTAGGGAAGAATGGATCAGTGATGAACTGATCTTTCTTAAGAAAACTATTGAAAATTGTGGAATAGACTCATATTCAATCAGAAGACAACTGTTAAGAAATATTTTGGTTCAATTTGCACAAAAGCTTCTGAAGTGCTGTGGAGATATCCACCAAAGAGAACTAAGACTTGCAATTGTTGGAAAAGATCCCAATTATAATTTTAAGGAAAGGCTTTATTAGTAAGAATCATTTGAATATATTCAATCCTGGACACATTAGATATAGGAACTGCAATGGTTTATGATAGTTTAGAAGCCGTTGTGGAGTTTCTGCCTGTGGAATATTATAATAGATTATCAATAGGGGGCTTTGAAGTTTATTTTTGTAATAGGCTTTACCTATTAACTTTTTTTTTTACAGTAAACAGATGGTAAGTTAATATAGTTAGGCAAATAGAGCTGTAGAAGTTTTAAATTATAGATCTGTTTTTAAGGGGAAAATTCAGTGGTGGGAATCAAAAAATTTTTACTACCGGTTCTCTGGGCATGGCTTGGAAGGCATGGTAGGGAAAGTATATTGTAAAATCTCCAGTCAGAAGTGGTATTTGCCGGTTCTCCAAACTACTCAAAATTTCCACTACCAGTTATCCAGAACTGGTCAGAACCTGCTGAATACCTCCTCTGGGAAAAGTATTATTATTGGGATAATATATGCATTTTATGCACCTTTTGTCTTGTTTAGTTTTTGTTTTGTTATTGTTTCCCTTTTTTCACTTGAAGTTTGTATTTTAAGAAATAAAATTTAAAAATTATTAAAAAGAAAGAAAGAAATTATATTTCTAGAAATCAAGCATGAATAAAATCTACCAAGGATTGACCTCTTTCTTTATTGATCTAGAACTGAAGAATAAATCTAAAAATGATTGTTACTTTTCCTTTTTTTACAGTGTGGAAAATTCTCTAGTAGCTCTCCAACACCTCAAAATCAACTGCAAGGGCTCCAAGATGCTGAAGATGCTGTAGAACATGAGAACATGAAAGCTGTTCTGAAGATATCATCTCCAACTGGAGAGAACATTGCATTAGGAATGCGCACTCGATCCAGGGCCAGTCAAGGTGAATAGTTTGGACATATGTGGGGAGATTCACTCTGTTTTCATTATTATTATTTGTCACACAATCAAAGTTTTAGGCTGGATTTGGAAGTTCTCTCCACCTTTCAAGTCTTTCCCAAGGACCTGAAATAAGCAGATGTGGCTGTTGGATGGTGTTACAGATATCGTCACAGGATGTAAGCTGTTCCAAGTAAAAGCTGCCTTTTTGCAGTTGACTGATGACAATTTTGTCAATGTCTATTGTGTTCAAGAGATGTTACAATTGTTTTGGGATTGCAACCAAGGTGCCTATCTTAATGTTGGTATATAGTGATGTTGACAGACTCTATTTACCAATGAAAATAGGTAGGCATGGAATGTTTCAAATAACCCAGATGGCTAAAGGGCATGATTCATGGTCATTGTTTTTCTGGTCTTTCTATGCAGAACATTTACCAAACTTGAGCCCACTCTTTCTAGCTGTGTATCCAATGATTGGAATTTCCTAGGTATTAATTGCCTTGATGGTACGGTATTGCCTTCACTGGATTTTTAAGGTCTTCGTTCTCTTGATCTCCCAACCTATCACAATTGACCAGTAATTATGTTTTGCATCGTGCCATCAATGTATGCACAAAACTTCTGATGTTTCTACTGACTCCTATTATTTCTAGACACTGATTATCCATCATTTGGCAGGGAGTCAAATGCTTTCCTATAATCAATCCATGCTACATTGAGTTCTGTTGCAGTTTTCCAGAATGATCTTGTCAATTAGAAGTTGATCTTTAATTTCTCTGCTGTTTGGGCAGTTTTTTTTCTGCTCAGGTTTTCATTTAGCGTCCATTCCAGTTAGCAATTTGAAAATTGTTGGTAGGCATGTAATTGGTCTATAGTTGCCTGATGATTCCCCCTTTGCTGGATCCTTCATTATCAAATATTTGATTGCTCGGGCTTTTGTGTAACATTAAAAAAATGTTTTTGATGTTTGATAGCTATGTATTGATTTAATCAATATGGTTGACAGAAGAATCAGTGCAATGACAAACATTAGCAGTGAAAGTGAGTCTTCTTGAAAGATTCCTCTCTTGATATTAATCTCTTCCAAACCATTGATCACAACCATGTCTTCCATTCTGCCCTTGATTTTTACACAAAGTTGCCGATGTTTCTACTGACTCCTATTATTTCTAAGCACTTGATTGTCCAATCATGAGGCAGGGACATCGCCGCTACATTAAAGTTGGTCTATCTTCTCCTGCAATTTTACAAAATCATCTTGTCAATTAATATTATTCAATCTTATGTGTATATGTATTATTATTATTATACATAAATTGATATAATTTTGATATAATATAATTGTGATGTAGATTTATAGAAGACCAGTTCCAATAATTCAGTGTGTGTGTGTGTGTGTGTGTGTATACACACACATATACAATACACACACACACACACACACATATATATACACATGTGCGTGTTATATAATACATATATGTGTATATGTATTATACGTGTGTGTGTGTGTATTATAATACATAAATTGAGTAATGAATATAATTGGGATTCAGATTTATAGGAGGCCAGTTCCAATTCATTCAGTACAATATATTATATATTAATCTGAGGTCCACAAATTTCAGTGAACATGGATGAGGACAAAATTATACCTTTATTTTTACTATTTTATGTTATGCATTTAAATACATTTTCTGGAAAGGAGTTCATAGGTTTCTCCAGAGAAATCAAAAGAAATCATGGCACAAAATAGTTAAAAACCTCTGATTATGAAAGATTTTCTATACTATACAATATTACAAATACTACTCAAATGATGGCTTAAAACCAGTTTTTTCCTGGAATATTTTATATGGGCAGTTGACTGATAATTCTGAAGGTAGAAGCGCAATATAATGGTATGTTGGGTCTTCATTTTACCAGCCTCAGAAGGATAGAAGAGTAGTAAACTAGAGTTCTGTCAGGATAGAATTCTGGCCTCTGGGCAGAGTTTGCTTCAATACTGCAGTTTAACCACTGCAACACCATTTACTATTTGATGGTGGTGTTTCTTACAAACTCAGAAGTAATTTATCTTTGTCACTGCTTTGTAATTCCTTAAAAGGCACAGATTATGGCCCCCACGGGGAATGACTGTCTAATATACTCAGCCATGTTGAAGATATCATTAACTATTAACAATTAATATCATTAACTATTTCGATTTATAGTTTCAGGCAATGCAGGTTCATGGAACCCTAGCAACGATGATTTGACTAATGCTACAGACAATGCAGCAGATGAAATAATGGATCGTATTGTCAAGTCTGCCACACAAGTACCAAGTCAGCGTGTAGTGCCCAAAGAAAGGAAGCGATCAAGAGCAAACAGGAAGTCAAGTAAGCTAAACTAGTATTAATTATCTATAAACAAAACAAAATAGCAGACATTTTTATTCTTCTTCCATCTACAACAGGTAGGCAATTTGGTTGAGTAAAAGAAACCTTGCCTCCTAGGTCAAAACAGTATCTCCTAGTATTTTTCCCTTAGTCAGTGCCTGAGAAGAGAACTTTAGTTTGTTAGCTTTATATCCCCTGTAAAAGCCAAGGTGGGTTACATAAGGAGCTCTTTTTATATATTTTTTCCTATAGCAACTCTGAGAGGAAGATTGTGTTAAGGATGAGTGACTTATCTCAAAGTTTGAATGAGAAAGGATAAAGTTCAGTATAAGTTCAAAATCTTAACTAGTACATCCTGCTGTATCTCTTGAACAAAGAAATGCGTCAATAAAGCAATCATTGTTATTTGTTTCCTACAACGCATCTCCCCTTTGGGTTTGTGCCCAGCACTTCCAAATGTGGGGTTTCTTTGAAGTTCCAGGTTTCTGTCTGCACGTAGTCAGCTCTTTTTGTTCCTGGACTTGCAGTGAAGCATGTCTTGCTGGGAACCTCTCTTCTCTCTTAGGGAAGCCTCCAGCTGATCTCTTACTTTTCATCTCCATCTGGGACCAGGGATCAGCCCCTACACAGTCCAACAGCATACTCATAATCATGTCTCTCCAGCAACCAACTTCCTGCAGTCTTTCCAAAAGCACTTTCTGTCTTGATGCCTCATAGCAGCAATGTCCCCATTGTCTGAGTATCTGTTCTTCCTCTTCTTTTATGGCTCAAACTGGCAGCATATCCCCCAGTGAGTGTGCTCTCCAGGGCTTTAGTATCCAACACCTATACCTAGAAGTTGACCAGTGGGAATGGTCCCTACATAGGCCTCAGAGCAATCTTGGCTAGCAGCTGATCAGCCTTCAAGACAGCACAGCTACATGGCAAGACCAAACCTAAGTTTCTTCTTCCCACATTGTGCCAACTTACACCAGCAAAATAGCAGCCAGCATGGCTACAAAAACCATATATCAGTTTTTACGCATTTGAATTACCATTGCTCAGTTGTTTACAGATTGATAAAATGGATATTTCTAAAAGCACTACAGTATACTCTGGTTGTGACCTGTCAGACTACAAATCTGTATGGTCTAAGCTATGGTTTTCTATCTATAGGGGGAAGAGATTAGTGAATTACAAAATCAGCTCTGCTATTAACCTTTACTCTCCTTATCTATGGATTGTTCTATAAACACTGAAATATATGAACAAGAAGTTTTTACAGAAGATAAATTTATTGATTTACACATACTGTATTTTTTTGGAGTATAAGACACACTTTTTCTACCCCCAAAAGTGGGTGGAAATGTCTGTGCGTCTTATACAGCGAATGTTGCCAAAGCCCCACCCACCCGCCAGCCCCCACCTTTTGGTTTCTGCCTCCTACCAATTTGCCTCCTTGCAGAAAAACCGCCTGTTTCAGTTTCAGCACAGCCTGATTAGCACAAGCAGCTGATTGTCAGTTGGATAGATTTCCTGATGATCAGCTGTTTCAGACTGCAGGGATTGTCATTGCCTATTGCTGCTTCCACGGCCCCATTTTCAGCCTCCGCATCCCATTTTTTGCCTCCGCATAACACATTTTCCACCCATTCTGATCCCCGCCACCCAGAATGTGGCAAAAACCAGGCACATGGAGGCTGAAAATGGGATACTTTGGGACGTCTTATACTCCAAAAAATATGGTATCCATTTTTAAACACTGCAAAAGAGAGATTAAAGGTGGATGAGAGGCTTATAAATCCAATCATATAAGGAAATGGAAAAACTTCCTTGATCTTCCAGAAAAAAATGAATATTTAAACAAAGTATTTCACATGAATGCAAAAAGATCATAGCAGGAATTGTGAACCTGTTTAGTGAAATAGCACCTCTAAATATAACACATGAGATTATTGTTTATAGTGTTAGGTTATCAGTGTTAGATATACTTTGAAAATAGTCTGTGTGTGTGTATGTGTGTATATATGTGTATACATACACAAAAATATTTTTCTCTGGACTATATCTCTATCATTCTGGAAGAAATATCATTTTTTTTTAATCCAAAGAGTCATGATTGAGAGAAATAAATGCATGTTTACAACTGTCAATGCTCACTTTTTGAAACCAACATTTCCTTCACTCATTGAACCACCTATTTTTAGGATTCATTTATGCAAGTTATTTATATATTCACACAATATAAATCACAAGGGGAGTGTATGTACAATGAGCATGTATGTGTGTATGTCCATCTCACATGCACACCAGAGGTGGTATTCAACTGCTTCGTACTGGCTCGAGCGAACCGGTAGCGGTGATTTGACATGGGTTGCCGAACCAGTGGCAACCCTGGCTGGCCACGCCCCCGACCTGGTCGCCCGGTTGCTCACTTGCCCCGGTCGCTCTCCTAGCTTTTCTTACCACGTAGTGGCCACAGCGCAGCTTGGGCGGATGTCCCATGGCTGCTGCACATGCACATTGCGTGTGCAGCCGCTACACATGCAATGCACATGTGCAGCAGCCCCGGGACATCTGCCCACCTGCCCGCCCTCCCAGAGCATGCTTTTGTCTTTCTCCCTGCAGACACACATCTTCCAGCCAACCTGTAGGTAGCTACATATCCAGCCACCCCTTTTTCAGCACAAGAAGCCTCCACCAACCGGACGGCTGCTCTCCTCCTCCTCGGCCATACAGAACAAACAGACGGACAAGGAAGAGAGTAGCTGGCCAGTTACGCTGAAAAAGGGGCGGCTGCAGACCGAAAAAAAGTCACCTCCTGCCACCTCTTTTGCAGTGCTGCACCACTGCATTCAGACTTGCTTGGGCAAGTCCTTTCAGTGCAGCAGCCTCAATGGGGTGGACCTGCATGGCCAGCGCCTAGAACGCAGCAGCAGTGCATTGAAGAAGCGCAGCAAAGCCGCTACAAGAAGCCTATAGCTGGCCTGTGTTTTTTTCGGTGCAGGAGGAAGGTATGTAAGGTTTCAGGCAGTCGGGAAAGCTGCCTAGCCCAGAGCTGGTGATGGGGGTGGGGGGCGAAGCTGCAGCACACGCCTCGCTTGAATTTTCCAGCCCCAAAAGCGGCAGGGGAGAAAGTCCTGCCTTGCCTGCCAGCTTTATTGGGCAACGCGGGACCGGAGACTGGCCTCGTAACAAGCGATGCTGCCAGGCACTTAGAAGCATGTGTGACTCTGTGTGTGTGTGTTTTTGTTTGTTTGTTTGTTTCAGATGAGTGCTTGGAAGCCTGTATGTGTTTCAGGTGGGTCTCCTCTCCTAGCTTTAGGAGAGAGGGAAGGAGGAAGGGAAGGGATAGAAAGAGAGGGGGGGGAAAGAAGAAGGAGGGAAAGAGAGAGACAGAGGAGAGGAAAGAAAAGAAAGAGAAAAGGGAAAGGAAGAAAAAGAGAGAAAGGAAAAAAAGGGATAGACAAAGAAAAATGGGATGGAGGGAAGGGAGAGAAAGAAAGAGGGAGGGAAGAGAAAGTGAATGAGATATATGGATGAATGGATGGATAGATAGATATATGGAAGGAGGGGGGGAGGGAGAGAGAAAAGAAAGGAGAGGAAGGAAGGACACAAACCCTGGCTTCAGAAGACTCTTTGAAACAGCACAGCAATCTAAGGCTGGAAGAGATCTTGGAGGTCATCTTCTAGTCCAAGGGTCTTCAAACTTGGCAAGTTTAAGACTTGTGGACTTCAACTCCCAGAATTCCATGACTGGAGGAGGAATTCTGGGAGTTGAAGTCCACAAGTCTTAAAGCTGTCAAGTTTGAAGGTACCTGTTCTAGTCCAACCCCCTGCTCCAGCAGGAGATCCTTACAGAATCATAGAACAGCAGAGTTAGAAGGAACGTTGGAGGCCATCTAGTCCAACCCCCTGCTCCAGCAGGAGACCTTATATCATCTGGAATCTGGATTCTTTTGGTGCTGAAGGAGATATTAATAAATAAAGAAATGTAGTAAAATATATTATAGCATTAAATAGAGAGCTACTCTATAGGCATTTGCTATCTCACTGTTGTAAAAAAGATTTCCTTAACTTTTCACTTGTTGTAAAACAATTATAAACATGCCTGCAATCAGTTACACCCCTCTCCTATTAAGACATATGATTGTCCCATCTAAATCAATCTGAATCCATCTGTTTTCCTGGATTAATACATTTCATCCCAGCATCACCCCCTGGGAATGAAACGTACCTCTCTGGGAATGTAACGTAATCCACACCTTTGAAGTATGCTGTTAATAGCCTCCTTAAGTGGTCATTTGTGATCAATTAGATGGACAATAGGAGAAGAGATAATGACAGGTAAACATTGCCGGAAAGAGATTTGTCTTTTGCAGGAAAGATATAAATCTAAGTTACAATGCAGTTACTCGATTCTAAGAATCTTAAAGGTATAAGAAGGACAAGGTATCTTGTAGAATTTTCCTCCCATGTCTCTAGTGATGTGCTAGGAACTTCTTTCCAGATCTTTAAGTTTGATCAAAGAATAAAAGTCTGCTTTCTTTGATTTGCAAGCCTCCGTTTAAGTCTTTGTTTTGGTTCATTTTTGGCTTAAGCGTACTGCCAGACCTTACAGTGCCTCTAACAGAGAGGAAAATTGGCAGAGGAGTTTACTAGGGCAAGGCTACCATGCAGAAGAAGGCAGAGATTCACTTATGACCACAATTAAGTCCAAAATTTTGGTTGCTAAGCAAGAGTATTGTTAAGTGAGTTTCAGTACATTTTACTCAAACCATGACATCTCCTGGGTCTAACAGTCATGTGCGGGCTAGGGAAGTAAATCTGAAGGCATGTGCAATGTTCTAATGTACAGAAGTTATAGTTAAATGTGTGGCAAAAAGTGGACTATGGGTATGTTTTTCCAAATGCGGTGCGGTTGAATTTATATAGTTTTAGAAGAGCAGTGTGTGTATTTGTGTGTGTGTGTGTGTGTGTGATATACATATAGTATATATAGTAGATAATGTATTTTTGTGTGCCTATACACACACTATACTATGTAATATGTATGTACACATATAGCATATATACATAGGATTAAATAGTGTATTTTGGATGTTCAGTAGTAGTAAATAGAGCAGGAAATTGTATCGCTTTGAGGCAAAGAGAGGATAGGCAAGGCACCACTTGACGAGTAACATCAAGTTGGCCACTCCCATCCAATCACATGACCACCCAGCATGCCCACCCAGTCACATGACCACCAAGCTACACCCACCAAATAAGCCACACCCACAGAACCAGTAGTAAAAAGTTTTGAATCCCACCACTGATGCACACATACATCATCATCTCATTAGACTTCTGAGGAGTCTCCATCTTTAGTCTTGAGAAGACTGCACTTCCCTGTTCAAGACTATATGCAAACTGAAGGATCATTTTTGACTCCCAGTTCCTGCTTGAAGAATGAATAGCAGCTGTGGTTAAGAGGCATTTTGTAAGTCCTTTAAAACAATCACTCATCCTTTGTCACCTTAGGAATATACTATTGCCATGCCCTGATGTTCCTTGAAGAATATCAAAAGCTTACAGGTAGTCCAGAAGTGGTATAGAAAGTAATGGGCATGCCACAATATGCCCATCTGACAACACTGTTGTGTGAGCTGCACTAGTTCCCAGTGAGCTTTTAGATACGATTCAGGGTGTGCCTATAAATCCCTTCACGGCATAGGATCTGGCTATCTAAGGGCCGGTACTTTCCTGATAATTATATCCATTTATCTTATTTTAATTACTAGACTCAGTCTCCTTATTGATGAGATGGGCAGCATATAAATGTAATAAATAAAATTTTAAAAATGCTTAGCATTGGACTAAAAATTCAGTTTTACTAGGAATAATGTTAATAAAGTATAAAACTATCATAAATAGTATTCTGTCTGCTATGCAGTGACTTGATATCAAATATTTATATGTACAATGAATAAGTTATTTTATTCAGGAAGGTAATGGTTTGTCTTTATACAAATGTAAACAAAAGTACTTGCGTTTCCGTTTGTGGTAATATTGTCACAGTCATATATATTCACACCTGCAAATGAAAGAAAACAAGAATAATACTGCTGAGTGTTCCCCTATAGGATTGTGCAATTTGTCTTTTAGAACATTCATACTATCTTTTTCTTTCTGTTTCTGATTGCACAGTAAGGAGGACATTGAAGAGTGGATTGTCTCCAGAAGAAGCCAAAGCTTTGGGTCTGATGGGTACTTCAGAGATGCAAGTGTGATTACAGCAATTAAATCTGCTAAAGGGAAAAAAATCTTCCTCTTTTTTTTTCATGCACACATGCCATCAACAGTCTTCAAATGCAACACCCCTCTGCCAGTTTCAGCTGCTATTTGTTTTGTCCCACTGCTGCCTGACACTGAATCAAATAATAAACTTAAAATTAGTAAACTAATCTTGTAATCTTGTAACTGACTGCTACAAAAATAAATTACAGGAGCAGAAGGTTAATTGAACATTGTGTCACATTCATTCTGTCATGCTGCATTTAGGAGAGTTGCCCTTGGGCCATCTTGCATTGTGTGAAAGGTGTTAATGCTAATTTTCCTTGCAGTTTATTGTAGTAATTGTAAAGTACCATGTTTTATCAATTCTTTAAACAATCTTTCTTAAAGTTCCTACTATCATAAGGCAGAGAAATGTCAGTCAAGCATAAATATGAAATACAAGTTAAATTATATCTTAATAGTTTGAAACAAAATACTATTTCCTAATTTCATCTAGTATCTTTTGTATCTTTTCCTGAGGTTTCTTCTGAACTGTAAAAAGAAATTAAATGAATATTTTGACAATAATTTGGACAAAGAACAACTGTTTGGGATGCTAATAAACCAGTCATAAGAGATTACTTTATACAATGTAACCATTTTGAAAGAAAATACTATTTCCTATAAAGGATTAGATAGGAAAATAGTGCTCACGTTGGGGCCCATTAAGCTGCTGTTTTCATTCAATTTTAAAATATTTAGCTTACCTAAGTTGCATTATTTACTTACCTGTTACATTAGATTTTATTAATATTTGCCTCACAAACCTTGAAGAAACAATAAGGCAAACAATTGGTTTAAATATCAATTTTGTTCCCCATTACCTATTCAATGGCATTCTTCTTACCACAATGGTTGCTAAGCCTTCTGCTATTATTCTGGATCATTCATCAACAACCTTTATATAGAAGGTATCAAATATATAACCTTTTTAAAAAACAGGTCCTAATCTTTTCTTAGGCATGAAACCTCTGAGACCTAGTCAGCATCTCCAACAAGCTAGTTAAGAAAATAAAACACTTGTTAATTCATGCAGTGAAAGCTTTGCAATATAAACTAGGTAAGCACAGTGCAAAACAAGTGGACCCCACAAAAAAGCAGTACAAGTAGAAAGAGCAATAATATGTATTTTGATATTTCTAATAATGTCTATTACTTGACTGATTTTATTCTACAATTTATTTGGACCTATAGGGATATTATATGGATCTATAAAAGCTGGGCTGCAGAATTACCATATTTTTCGGACTGTAAGACGCTCCCAAATATAAGACGCACCTAGCTTTTGGGGAGGAAAACAAGAAAAAAAAATCTGCCTCTGCCTCCCAGCAATTTGCCTCCTTGCAGCAAACAGCCTTGTCAGCTTCAGCACAGCCTGATTAAACACAAGCAGCTGATTGTCAGTTGGATCTGCCTCCCAACAATCAGCTATTTTAGGCTGCAAGGATCTCCATCGCCTATTGCTGTCTCTGCACGCCTCGTTGTCAGTCTCTGTATGCACCATTTTTGGCCTCCGCATGCTCCATTTTCAGCCTGTTCCAGTGGCGGGGATTGGAATGGGCCAAAAATGGGGCATGCGGAGGCCGAAGACGGGATGCAGAGGGCAAAAATGGGGCATGCGGAGGCAGCAATAGGCAATGGCGATCCCTGCAGACTGAAACACCTGATCGTCAGGAGGCATATCCAACCGACAATCAGCTGCTTGTGCTAATCAGGCTGTGCTGAAGCTGACCAGGCTGTTTGCTGCAAGGAAGCAAATTGCTGGGAGGCAGAGGCCAAAGGGTAGAGCCTGTGGGTGAGTGGGGTTTCGGCAAAATTGTATTAAGGGTGCACAGACATTTCCACCCATTTTGGGAGGCAGGAAGTGCGTCTTATACATAGAAAAATACAGTACATTTTTTTCCTCCTAATGCCCAACTCTTTAATGATTCTACAGTGACCTGTAAGTATTTTGTTAATACTTACTCATTGCTGTGCTTTCAACTAGAAAGAAGGAATTATTACTACAATGAATAATATTGATCTTTTTTCTCAGTTGACTTTTTATGTGTTTCAAAACTAAATATTGGTATTGGTTGTCTAAAATGTTGTCATCACAAACATTTTTTGTTGCTCGTATCAGGGTTATGCAGTAATTCAAATAATTCAGGAAAGGTACTTCAGAGCATGAAGCATCATAAAGTATTGCAGAGAAACCCAAGCTTCTATATTTCCACATACTCCAAGCATGTTTTTGGAATTAAATCCAAAGCATTGGATAATCAAAAAGCAATAAATATTTCTAAATTTTTAGAACTAGGGAAAAAAACCTATAAAAGAATTTTTAAATTAATAAAAATACTTATCAATAGGATCACATGATCTGACTCTTAGTGCAACAATAGACCTTCCATGAATTCCAATAACCTCCTCATGACAGAAAAAAGTATTTGTGTCTCTTCATCCCTTTACTGGTGAGACTTTTTCTCTGCTTTCATTCTATTGCAAAGTCTTTCTGTCCCATTTTCTTTTCAAATTTTGTGACACTTTACTTTTTGTATTTTGGAAGGAATCAGATTGACCTGAAGGAGGAGCAGGTGACCTTTCCAAGATTTGAATCATATTTCTCATTTTTGCAGAAAAATATCCAATTTATTTCTTAATGGATTGTTGGTTACCAAAAAAACACAATTATGATTGTCTATAAATTCTCCAAATAAGCATATGAAGTAATTTTTGAAAACTTAATCCCAGTGTTAAGAATGCATTTAGAAGTAAACAAATTTCCATCCTAAATTGTTGCATTGATTTATCTCACCATTTTATTGTTTATATTATAATACATCTTGTGAATCATTTTTCAATCTAATTCCAAATGCATCTTGTAAAAATTCATTTCTGTGAAAAACACTTCTAAGTACTTGCTTATTGAAATCATGATTATGATTGTATTTTGATATACAAATGATATGTTTTGTTTCCTAAAATCATTAAGTTTCTAAATAAGTTTTTGTTAATAGCTACAATGGTATGACAATAATTCAAACAGCTGTTTCAGTTTATATAACTCCTAAAAACTAGATAACACTAGATCAGAGTTCTCCAATCTTTCTGGGTTGGAGGCCCAGGGAGAGGGGGAAAAGAGGGGATGATTGTGCGAGGGGCAAGTGCATGTGTGTGCATGTTTGCAGTTACCCATGACATTCACAGCGATGCTTCCATGAGTGGGGCAGCGAGCACCCACAATGAATCTAAGAGGAGTGGGTCTGCAAGCACCTGCAACAAAGCTCGTGCGAGTGGAGCTGCGAGTGCCCACAACAAGTCTTGCACGAATGGAGCTACGAGCACCCATGATGAGGATCGCACAAGTGGGGTTGTGTGCGCACACTACCTAGCCATGCACATCGCCCGGTGGCCCAGTAATGGCCACAGGCAGAGTACCCCTGCACTTGATGACATTGAAGAATTACAGAGAATTTTTGTATCTCTTTGTTGCTATCCTGGGTCATGTTCATTTTCATAACTTAGATATGGTAGTTTTTTCTAATGAAATACTACTGTATATGAGCTTTGTCTTTGAAAATCTCGTCAGCTAACATTTGGAGCCTGCTTTTGAAGCTTACCATGTAGGAATGGGGTTGTTTTGAGAAAACCAAATCTACATCTGTATTCTTAAGAGTGTATAGAATTAGCTTCACTGGACTATGGTCATATTCTCCCATGCAATATGTCTGTTAGATTATTCCTTTGCTTCTTATGACTGACAAAACTTTAAAAGTATTTCTAATGATGAATGGCCAACTGAAATTCCTGTATCAGTACATGTTTTCCAAGATGCAGTGAGCTTTTTGTTAGTGGAATAAAAGTCAAATGACCCCATTTAAATGACTGCATGGGGGAGAGGGAGAAAAGAAAAGGGAAAATTAATGGAAATTAGAATGGAAATTCTGTTTCCATGTAGCTGAGGACTGGCTCTCCAAATTTATAAAAAAGATAGCATACTAATCTTCCTACTTCCAAATAAGAACCTTAGAATTGTGAAAGGAAAATTAATGAGCTGTTTATTAACTCCTCTTCATAAAATGCTTAGGAAAGTGACATATCCTCTTCCAAGGCGTTTTTGGAAGAACAGCCTTTGAAACAGGAATTTGGTATTTCAGTGAAAGATATAAGACATTTTTTAAAGGAAAACAAAAAAATGGAAAACTTCAGCCATTTCATAAGATAAAATAAACAACAGCACTCTTGTTTCACTAAAAAAAATAGCCCAATATTGCAAGAGGAGAATGTTCTGCGGAAAAGGATGGCATTTTTCTTAGTTTGTCTTTAATGTATTCAGTAAAGTCCAGTGCGTATTGTTTGCTTATTTTAGAATGTTTCTGTAAAGCAACTATTCATTCTATGTGTTGGAACTATTTTTGATGAAACGGATTAGAATTAATTGTTACTTTTAAAAAAGGAAATATATATATAGTTTTTTAATGTAAATTGTATCCAAATAATCTCTATTTTCTCTTCATCTATGTTGAAGGATAATTGTCAGTGTTACAATATAATTACTAGCTGTCCGAAATGCTCAAGGAAATTCCATATTATAAAATGCTAAGACCGTGATAAAGCATACCTTTTCTATTCGTTGTTGCTTTGTAGATTTTTAAGTACCCAAATTCCTTTAATTAATCATTTTCAAACATATACATATACACATACATATATACAAATGCATATGTGTGTATGTGTTCATATATATATATATAAACAATTTACAATACACAAAAGGAAATTTTTCACAAATAATTTACATATATGTAAAATGTGTGTGTGTGTGTAAAATTACAGCTGTATCCCAACTTGACCTGACTTTTGATATTGACCAACCTTATCCAAAGATTTAAACATAATAGATTATAGATGTTTATATAATGAGAGAATCATTTTCTCTAATGAACTCAGATTCATTTTCATGCACTCCTGAAGCCTGACCTCAAAACTTCAACCTATTTCTAGACACTTACGTATACAGTTAAAGTTTTTATGAGCTTTTCCGAATTTAAAAAAAAAGTAATATGGTATTAAATTCTGCATTAATAAAAATGAATTTAAAAGATTCAATAAGTGTAAACCAAGAAATGTATGTTTTATTTAGAAGTGGTAAATATTTTGGC